TATACATGAATATAAAACACTGGGGTAAGATTATACATGAATATAAAACACTGGGGTCAGATTATACATGAATATAAAACACTGGGGTAAGATTATACATGAATATAAAACACTGGCGTCAGATTATACATGAATATAAAACACTGGGGTAAGATTATACATGAATATAAAACACTGGGGTAAGATTATACATGAATATAAAACACTGGGGTCAGATTATACCTGAATATAAAAACACTGGGGTCAGATTATACATGAATATAAAACACTGGGGTCAGATTATACATGAATACAAAACACTGAGGTAAGATTATACATGAATATAAAACACTGGGGTCAGATTATACATGAATATAAAACACTGGGGTAAGATTATACATGAATATAAAACACTGGGGTCAGATTATACATGAATATAAAACACTGGGGTNTTTGGGAGACATGCAGTTCTTACAGGAACAGACTTGAAGAAGGTGAAGGGGCAGCTCCTGTAGGTGAGTCAGGTCTGCGTCATTGTCCACTCAGGTAATCAGTGCTGCTGATCAGGCATCAGGTTCAGGTGGGAGCGGAGCAGTTTCCTAATGGGCTCAGAGACAGCAACAAGTCCGAACAGGATGCTGATCGTCAGTTTCGTCACATAATTCCTGCTGGGCTGGTCCTGGTGTCGGTTTGCTCCACCTCCACCTCCAGCTGAGGTCTCAGCAGACGGAAGGAGCTGTCAGAGCACAGCAAACACTCGAGCTGAGATGGCAGACAACAAAATGGGTCCGAACCTCCAGGGCGGAGCAGGACTTCTGGCCAAACGGGTGCAGAAGTCCTTGAACCGAGCTCAGGAGAAGGTAAGATAACCCGGGTTTAAAGCCTGCAGCCCGGATCTAACGGGGAAGGATATTTCATCATGAGAAGAGCGGGTGGGCCCTAGCTTTTTCTTCTTCCTTTATTTATTTTTATTTATTGTCTTTTTCCAAACAAAGTAGAAAACATATGGAGGATACTGAACAGGCAGCAGGTCTTGTATTAAAGAACACAACATGTGTGATTTAGTCTTAATGTTCTCTTCATCTTCATTTATGTAAACCCTCACAAAGTGCTGTTTACACAAAAGACCAGACTTTGTTCACCATACAGATGCAAAGATTGCTGTGTGAGTTGTGAGGTGTGTGAAACATGTTACTGTGCAGTGGGTGTTCAGCTGTGTGTGTGTCTGCCACTTCCTGACTGCTGTACACTTCCTCTTGCTTGGTGTTGCCTGATCTGTTTGTGGGTTTGATTTCACCTCAAAACAGAAAAGTTTACAAAGTTTAGTTTCTCTGAAGAGCCCATAAACTGCAGAGAACTTTTATTAAAAATGTCTAAGGTTTAGCATTTCTCAAAAGAGCTACCGTTTTTAAAATGCAAGATTTTAAACGTTGAAAAAGGTTGTAGCTAATTTAGGTTCTCATGCACACAACCACACCACATTTAGGCTCAATGGGCCTCATGCAAGAACCGTTGGTACGCACAGATTTGTTCTTAAGTTGTGCGTACGAGTGATTTAGGAG